AGCATAGAGTCCAGTGAAAGCCAAGCTTTGTGTGAGCCGAATAATGCTCCGTGTGAACCGAGTTCGAAACCAAAAATATATGTTATTAAATTTGCATTTGTGTGTTGAGTGATTGAGTGTTGGAGATTGATCTGTGAGAGTTTAAGGAGTTGAAAGAAAGTTGTGTGTGGAATCTAAGTTCTAGGTGAACCAAGAAGAAAGCAGCATATGTGGTGAAACCAATTTGTATGGAAAAGCAAGTGAACATGAGAAAAAATGGATATGTGTGATCAGAAGACGAGAACATTGTTGATATGTTTGATCAGAAGACGGGAACATTGTTCATCTGCAAGTATGTGTAGGTGGGTTCAAGAAAATAAGAAGGCTTGAAATAACCTAGATCTATGTGATATGTGAGGGCTAGTATGAAACAGATGATGTTTCATGTTTTTTTCTAGTGTGTATGTGTGTGTGTTTTGTGTTTGTATGTAATGTGCGCGAGTAGGCAAGATGTAGTATTCAATGAGACTTGCCAATCTTTTTTCTACCATATATACATGAGTAGTGTATGTTTTGTGTTTTAAAGGATCTGAACCTACAAACCTTATGTATATCATTATTAAATGTATCCTTAATAATTATTCAAATTGACAGCAAATGTCATTAAATGAGGAGTTCCTCGCCTTATAGGCTTCATTCGCATCATTGTTTTTGGATCATAAGGAAACTATTTAATGGTTGCATACGTATAATGTTTGATTTTGGTGGCCTTACTAGTGATAGTAGCCACACAATTTATCGACCATATATTTAATAGTTAGAGCCTTGGAGGCTCCTATTGTGAACTTTTGAAATCGTAGACACAAGTCAATGTTAATTTATCATTAACAATATATTATAAGAAACCCCTCCATTTTGTAGACTAATATAAAGGTATTTAGTTAAGTGAGTGTACAAATATTAGAGTTATTATAACTCATGGACATGATCTTCATTGATATTCTTTTGAGAGAAATTCGTGAATGAATTGGCTCCCCTTGTAATATCCTTAGTGACTAATAGATATTTACCGAAGGAATGGTATGTGTTAATGCATTTCCATATTGTAAATTCAAACCATAATCCATAATCTCCATAACTACATGTCAAATAATTACGGATGGTTGATACGATTTGGTTATATGACGTCGAATAAAAGTTCTAAGAGAGGTATTTATGATTGGGTAGCATAAGAAGGCAATTTCTATCCTTTGCATGAACTGATAAAGACCCACATCTATAAATATGGTCAACTAAACCTTTAATATTTAGAGAAGTAATGACATGTTTAATTAGAACTTAGTTCACTTGAACTTAACTAGGTGGATCATAGCAATTAAATATATATAATACACAGAGTTATTGTGCTTCTTTGCGTTTATCATTTTTTTATTGAATAAATTTTAAGATATCGTACCTTCTATACAAGTTCACAGAAGATTACTGGGATCTCTCTCTCTTTCTCTCTATCTTTCTCTCTCTCTCTCTCTCTCTCTCTATATATATATATATATATATATATATATATATATATATATATATATAAAGTTCAATAGATAACCATTATTAATGAAGGAACCAATCCAAAGCGTCGAAATTTAAAGCGATCAACGGCAAAATGAAAGGTTGTAAACTTTTACAATTGACGCACATGCACCGGATCATAACAAAACTCACTTCTCTTTTTTTTTTTTTTTTTAAATTTTTTAGGTCATGTTTTTATCAAAAAAAAAAAAAAAAAAAACTACTCTGTGTATAACGTTGTTCACGATTCTTCGTCCTCTTTCCAAAGAGATCAGTGATGATATATAAAAAACAAACTTTTTTTTTGAAATAAACTCACTTCATTTTCTTTTTTGAAAAGTTAAGGTCTATATTTTTATTGAAAAAAATTAATATATATCAAAATTCATGTTTTTTTTTGTACTTTTTAAACATAAATTCATATTTATGTAAAAAAAACGATTTTTTTAGTTCAGATTCACATTGTAAACCTGTTCAGATTCATATTGTGAACTTGTTCAGATTCATATTGTGAACCTTCTCGGATTCACAGTATGCATATAGTAAGTCAGATTTATAGTGTGAATCTGAACTGGTCGGAGATTTTTCACATTGTGAATATTAAAATTTGAAATATTTACAATTTATATTCACAATGTGAATCTACACTGATCGAGGTTTTTTTTGTGAATCTTCTTATATTCACAGTGCGCATAATAGTAAGTCAGATTCACAATATGAATCTGAACTGTTCGAGCTTTTTCATATTGTGAATGTTAAAAATTGAAATATTTACAGTTTACATTCACAGTGTGAATCTATACTGTTCGAGGTTTTTTTATATATATATTTTTTAAATCGGTGTTGATATTTATTAATAGTGTACAAAAAATTAATATTTTTGGTATAAAATTTTTTTTATAAAAAGAAACTTAAATATTGAAAAAACTAACAAAATGAAGTGGGTTTTTTTCGGAAAAAAATTATTTTTTATATATCAACATGGATCTCTATGGAAGGAGGACGAAAATTTAGAGTTTTTTTTTTTTTTTTTTGATAAAAAATGTGGCCTAAAAAATTTAAACAAAAAAAGAAGGTAGGTTTTTTGGTAAGGAGATGAATTTTTGGTATAATCCAATATATGTGTGTCCAATATAAAAGTGTACATCTATTTTCTTGGTCATTGATTATTATGATTTCCGACCCTCACTGTTGGTTTATTGGTTCCTTGTTAATTATGGTTTTCTATTAAACCTCACCCTATATATATATATATATATATATATATATATATATATATATATATATATATATATATATATATATATATGTGTGTGTGTGTACGTGTACGAATGATGCAACATACATACCTTAATGGATATAAAATAATTGTTTTTTATCTTAAAAAATTTAAGTTTTTAAGTATCATCACAAGACCCTTATCAAGTTTGGATATAATATTTTGTAAAACCCTAGATATAATTCATAATCAAAATAATAAACTCTCAAACTTGAAATGGTTATCCGATTTGACATTATTGTCGAAATTCATCACTTAGCCCGTTGTAAATATCGTTAACATCATTACATAATGTTGTATTAACTTACATTAATATTATCTGATATGGTATAACCTATCCGTAATCATTATTGATAGTGTAACGACGGTTTGGATCGTTGATGATGCTTGATTTTCAAGTTATGTAAACTAAATCATGTGCACACAATAGGTGAAATAATAAACGATAGTATTATCCAATACGGTATAACCTATTCGTAATCATCGACGGTTTGGATCGTCGATGATGCTTGATTTTCAAGTCAGAAATTATTAAATGTTTAATTATGCGTTTCATTGTTTCAATCTATGCAACATTTTTGTATGAATTATTCAATCATATTTTACTCTTAAGCAAAAATATCTAACATCCTAAAAACCTAAATTTCCAAAATTTGAAATGCTATGAGCTAATTTTTATATACATACAATAGGTTATAATCTCTCAAATTCAATCGAACTTATATAATGTCGACTCCACAAACACTCTTAAAACAACTATTTAGGGTTCATTGAGAAAACCAATATAAAAATAGAAAAATTAAATATTATACACTTTGTTTTTATTTGTCCTTTTACTTATATAAAATTATGATATGTGAAATTCTCTAACTCTTTTTCTTAATTCATTCTCTTGATTTTAATAATTGTTTTGATCTAGTTAATAGGAATATGACGCTAACTCAACAACAATATAGTAGACGTGACAAAACGAGTGAATTGAAAAGGGATAAAACATGAAATTGTTAATACGTGTCAAAATGATAAAAGATGAGTTAGGAAACATTTTTTTTCCGTTTTAGCACAAATAATTAATCTTTTGGCTAAGATTGAACATGATATTATATTACTATAACAATGACTTAATGTATTAATAAAAGGATTTAGACAATTATATTCATTTCAATATAATTGTGTGACTTTTGGTCCGTTAACGGTTAACCTACTTCGGCAATGTCATTTCAATCTAAATTTTCAGTTTTACATATCTGACTATTTGAATAATATATAATCAAAATCAATTTATTAATATCTACGTCTAATAAAACTGTCAGATATATAAATGTGTTAATATATTTATTTTTTTACCTAATAGAGACTTTATAACGTATACAAATAATATCACACAAAATATCAATTTAATTTAAATGGTAATTTATTTAAAAGTCATCTTATTTGGTAATATTACTATTAGTATAAAAATGACCTTATTAGGAAAAAAAAAATAAACTAATATGTGGCTCCGTAATTTAATAAGAAAATTAAAAAATAAATGTGCATTTCCGTATTTTTTTTTTTTTTTTTTAATTAACGCATGTATACATTCTTATCCGATTTGATTGAGAGTCGAAAACATTATAACACCTTGACATTGCCAATTCCTTGATCGATAAATAAGAGAAATATCAAAAGGTAGAAAGAAATCCATTTTAAAATGGACATATATATATATATATATATATATATATATATATTATATATATATATATATATATATATATATATATATATATATATATATATATATATATATTTTACCTTTAGCTTCAACGAGCTGAAGTGAGTTTTTTTTTTTTTTTTTTTTTTCCAAATTTATGTACCTCCCAATTTCGGACAATTTGAGTATTTAAATATTTTGTGTTAGTTGTAAAATCTCCTGATTTCTGTATATTTCAAAAATCACGTAACTTAAATTGCTCTTTAATTTCAATAATTAGTGTCCACTTTTATTTTTCTTAATTGGCAAATATTCAATAAATTAGTTTCCAATTTATACAAAGGAGTGAATGCTAGAGACCCCTTCAAATTTCTTACACAGAGTATAGATATATATATATATATATATATATATATATATATATATATATATATATATATATATATATATATATATATATATATATAAATAAGAACAAAAAGGATGATGCACAAGCAAGCTGAAAAACCATTAATGCAGATAAGCAGTAGAGGAATGGAAAAAGTGGTGATTGTGATGGGTGCAACAGGTACCGGAAAATCAAAACTTTCTATTGACCTTGCCACCAGGTTTCAAGGGGAGGTAATAAATGCAGACAAAATACAAGTCTATGAAGGATTAAATATTGTGACCAATAAAATCACCGATGAAGAATGCAATGGAGTGGCACACCACCTTCTTGGAATTGTTGATCCGGAGTCCGATTTCACTGCTGATAATTTCGCAAGGGCGGCTTTACTGGCCATGAAATCCATCATCCAGAGAGGGAAGGTGCCGATAATTGCTGGTGGATCGAACTCGTTTGTTGAAGCATTGGTGGAGGATGAGAAATACGAGTTCAAATCAAGGTATTTCAGGAAATATAAGATAATTATGTTTATAAGTTATTAGTTATAACCCATTACTTAATGTTAAAGTAGGATTCTAACTCTCATAAATAACGATATATAAGGTGTTGCAAATTATAAAGGAACTAGTAGATTGGCTGGTTTCTTTGGTTCCCTCGCATAGGTGGAGGGATTGACCTTGAGTGGATTTATAAGGTTTAGTTGTCTTTAACCTACAAAGGCTTTATTAGATGTTCAGGGTTGGGAAATTAGACTAAACTTGATAATTAGATAATAATAATCTCTGATTAACTATTTGCGAATAAAAAAACATTTTCATCATCAATTTGTTTGTCGGATTGTATGCTTTAATATTACTTGCGATTTGATAGTAGTTACTTTACTAATAATCAGTATCTCATCATAGGCTTTATTTTAGTTACAATACTAATGATCAAATATCTCATATCAAAGGCTTTATTAGATGTTAAAGGTTGGACCAAGCCCATTCATTGGCTTACCAATTACCAAGTCTTTATTAACATTTTCATCGTCAATATTATTTATTACTAACGATTCAATATTATTTACAATACTTACTATTTATTACTAACGATTCAATATTATTTACAATACTTTTTTTTGGAACGAACAAATATAATCTACTACTCCTAAACTACACTTAAATACCACACATGTCCCTAACTAGATATGAACCATCAACCTCAAAGAGAAAGAACAACACCTGATATCATTAGGCTAGAAACATTTTGGTATTTGTTAACAATAATAATAATCACCATCTCATCGTACCTTCTTACGCATGATTATATAACACAAAACATATCCATCAAATATTTACATTATGTTGATTGCATCAACAGGTACAATGTTTGCTTCTTGTGGGTTGACGTCGCAACCGTGGTGCACAACCAAATTTTGGCGGAACGTGTTGACCGGATGGTGGCTTCTGGGATGGTGGAGGAAGTCAGAAACATGTATAACCCTAATGCCGATTACTCAAAAGGGATCCATAGAGCAATCGGAGTGCCAGAAATCGACTCGTATTTCCGTGCTGAATATTCATCATCCTCAGATGAAAAAGCTCGCGCCAAATTACTAGAAGCGGCCATTAATGAAACAAAGATCAATACATGCAATCTGGTTAACCGACAACTGGAAAAAATATACCGGCTAAGAGATGTTAAAGGGTGGAACATTCATCGGTTAGATGCCACCAAAGTCTTTGAGAAAAAGGGTAAAGAAGCCGAAGAGGCATGGATTGAGCTTGTTGTTGGGCCTGCTTTGGTGATTGTAAGTGAATTCTTGTACAATCAGTTTTAAGGTTTTTCTGACAACCTTGACTGTGACATCCGAGAGGTTGAAAAAAGGACAGCGGTTGCAACTGCAACTTACTAGGCAATCGAAGTAACAATAGGTACCAATTCACAAGTTAATTTTCGTGGAGACTAATCTTTGAATTGATAGATAGCTAAGAGATTTTACAATTTTTCCCCTGGAACTTTTTAATGTCCAATTTATATGGTCATGCATGTTTTGATGGGTTATAAGAAATATTATATTTTTAAATGGCATTAGCATTTCTTTTATTCTTACACTTGCAGTATTCAAGCCGCTTTTTTTTTTTTTTTTTTTTTTTTTTTTTTTTTTTTTTTTTTTTTGATAAATCATTCTCTATTAAAAAAACAATAGCATACGAGGTGGATGGTGGGGCATTTTGTTGAGGAAGAGATGGGTGTAGGCAGGGTTCATTGGATAATAATCATGATTAACAATAGGCACTATTAAGAAATATATAATGAAGGGTAAAATAGTCATTTATGACTTAACAGATTTAACCTTAAGTTGTTAACTTAAATGACCAAAACCATAATAAAACCCTATCAAAAGAAATTTTTTTAAAATAAAAAATTTGGACCTCACAAAAAAAAAAAAAAAAAAAAAGCATACCACATCGACCATTTCAACCAACCGTTTTCTCTTTATTCTATCCATAAACTTTCAGATTTATGCATTGGTATTTCGGGTCGGATTTTGTAATTGTATTTAGGATGGTTGTTGAACCACTTTGTATATAAAATTTTAATGATGGTTGTTTGTTTTTACAAAATAAGTTTTATTGTGTGATGTTAAAACTTTATACTAGTGTCATTTGCACTTTTCCCATGTACACTACCATTTACCATTTACATAACTAAGTCGATAAAAAAAACATACACCAACAACACTTCCATACAAAAATCCAATCTTTTTATGTACAAATATGGGAAAAGCTACAAGCGTTGAATCAAATTCCTTTTGTTGATAAAATTTGTACATATGTAGATGTCACGGTCTTATAACAAGCTATAGAAAAATAACCTCAATAATAAAAACAAGAGAAAGACAAGAAACCACATTAAAAAAAAAAAAAAAAATCATAAACTTCCTTGCATACATATTAAAATGCATTGAAAACATAAATTTAATTAATGTTTAAATCCTTAATTGGGCCCCACACGTATACGTCGTGTTGCAAGAGCCTGCAACTCTTACGGTGTATTCATGAACAGGTCTAGCAAGAAACGGAGGCAAGCGACCAAGTAACTCACAAACACACTCATCATCAACCTGTGCCAACCATTTACAACATTGTTGTTCTACGGGTGACATTCTATGTCTATGATGACTATGACCATGGTTATGATGATGATCATGCCGTCTACGATGACCATGACCACGATCATGATCACGTGTTTGATTGTGGATTTGTTCATCAGGACCATGTTCATGCATGTGTGAATGAACATGTCTATGCCTGTGTCTATGATACTCAGGGGGAGGAGGTGAAGAAGGGTAGACAGGTGGGAAAGGTGATGGAGGAGAGAGGGGAGAGGGAGGGAGTCGCCATGATGGAAGATACGCGCACGCTTGATTCGCAAGGGCTAATTGGAAATTACAAAGCGGGCGAGGGGCAAAAGGGGGAATTGGCACACTGGAAACTAAGTGAAATACTAGAAATAATGTAAAAATTGCCAAGTTATGAACATTTGAAGTGTCCATAGCAACCATTGTGTAATGATTCACCTCTCCTCATATATATTGAGGATAGTATGTTTTTGTATAGAGTTTTATTCATAAAACTTGTATGATCTTGGTAGGTGTATTAGGGGTAAATTTTAAAGAACTATCAAAGGAATAAATATGCAATCAAAAAAAATGTCACCTTCATTCCATTTGCAAACTGCAACATGAATAAAATTATGTGCATGTTGCCTTCATTCCATATGCATGACAATTGGGAGGCCTTTGTTTGGTGTAGTATTGTTTTCAACTGCTTGTTTCTGAAGATTTAGTTTTTCTATCCTCTGTTTATGTCCTTCAGCCAATAACAAAATGAAATTATCGTTGACTTCTAGTAATGGGTCTCTGTCAATTAACTCATCTCCCTTATAAGCTTCTCTCAACATTGCTGTTTTAATCCCACCTTTAAGTGACATGTAAAAGATTCCTGAATGCCTTGTGAAGACACTTGAGAATGCGTTTGAAAATCTATATTCTTCTGTAAATTTGCCTAATATTGGGACTGGGATTCTTTTGTATAATGACAACGAGAGTAATTCGTGAAAAACACCCACTGTTCTCTTCTCCATTTCTTGAGATGCTTGATCTAAATCTGATGCATCGTCATATGGTGATATGTATGGAAGTTCCATCCAGTCTCTGATCCATTCTCTCATTTCTTTCCTGATTAGAAAACCTGATGGGAGCTTCCAATTGAAAGATGGTCGGATTTTTATGCCTGTTGACTTTGATTCATCATCGGCCCTTTGTTCTATCACTGATTTCGCAAAATTAGGGTTCCAAGTAACCAATTCTAAATACGAATTTCCTTCTCCTGGACTTCCGTTTAATTTGAAATACTCTGGATATTTCGGGAACCAAATTCACCAAAAAATCATTAGGAAAACCAAATTCCCTCTTCACGTGAAGCAATTTATCTGCGTTAACTACATTGTCTTTGGACATCATCAACAATTTACACAACTTAGCAACAAGTAACGGTTCGTTTTCAAGATAAATCCTTTCCTCCTCATCTAAAACGCGTTGGAGCGCATCACTAAACCTTAAAAACTTAACAGGTTCAGTCTTGGGGTTTGATTCGATCATAATAGACATCGAAAAGACCTGGATTTCGGGATAAAAAAGTTTGGATCTTGACTGTAAGTCGTAATCTTTCCCGACGTTTCTCCAAATATCGAAGAGGGATTACTTTACCAGGTTCGTTTAACACCTCTTTAACAACTTTTGCACATTGTCTCCACGCTTTATCGTTCTCGATTGCTTGGTCTAGCTTTGGGTCTCTACGCCACACTACTTTGAGACTCGAAATTGAAGCTGTAAATTGAATCCAAACCCTAACTGCAGTCGAGCTTCTAGATGCGTTGAGATGAGAAGAAATAGCGTGGCGATGAAACAACATAGCTTACACAAACTCTTACAGTATAGTCGAGTTGAGTCGGTGACGGTGTGACCTGTACTGATGAACATGAAGTCTGTTATCGGTATCACCTTATGGATTTTATGGTTCGTAGGTAAAGGCCCAGTTCAGCGTATCTAGCATTCTACCTGTTTACGAAATGTGGGCTGTTGGTGAACTTATTTTTTACATAAATCGGTTAATAATTAAACTAATAAGTCTGAAAAAGTATATCCGGATTGCATCTGGCCTGTTCTTGAAAAACTCACAGATCGAGACCCCAAAATAGAGATGCACATCAGCTCTAACAGAGAGTTTGGTTTTATTTTTTGGTACTAGATTTGAAATGATACAGTCTTTTTTCTTTTTCAGGCTTTTGTAAACACTTAGCAACTTGTTTTCGAGTTCAATTTAACCAGGGAAAAGAAAAGAAATGAGTGAAAGTGAGAAGAAAATAAAAAAAAAAAAAATAGTCTTTCCGAGTTTCATTAAAGGAATGAAGTAGAAGGAAATGAAATAATCATTTTCCCTTCTAACTTTCCTTCCGATTTGGAAGGATTTGGAGGAAAATAACAAAATATTTAATTTTTTTTTCTACTTCTCTCCAACCCGGAAATAGAAAAAACAAATTTATTTTCCTTTCGTTTCTCTTCCTTTCTTTCTTTATTTTCATTTATCTTCTTTTCTTTTATCTACTACAACTCGGGAACTAGACGTAAAAGTCTTATTATTTGTATATGATGGTTGTCAATCAATGACTATCTGATTTAGATTAGATGTATACTCAAGTGTGAAACCATTGAACTTTTTATATTATTTTATTTTACTTAGTCATTCTTGATATTACATTTTTGTAAATTTAGTCATTGTTGATATAACACTTGTGTAAACTTGTCTAGATGATGTGATAAACTCAACCGATGCAGTGAGTATTGAATAACTCATAACATACATCGTAGTTTAGACGAACTAGGTCTAAGATCAAAGGGATGCATCATTTGTGTTGTTTCTCGGTAGTACTTTTCAATGTAGGTAGCTTTGTCATGGTGAGGCCATGAAATTAGGGTTAGATAAAGGGGTTAATGATCTAGAAAGGCAACGAACTTTGGTCTTTGTCTACATTTAGGTAACCATGTTTTTTTCATATACATTGACCATTGAACTTGTTTGGCCTATTCAAAATAAGGTAATATGACTGATAATTAGTGGTAATATTACCCTATTATGGACACGTCTAACAAGTTTACTGGTCAAATATGTACGAAAAAACATGGTTACCTATATATGGATAAAAACCAAAATTCCTTACCCGTTTTGGAAATATTGGGTTCTTGATGTTAAGTACAATATGTGACATGAAATCAGGCTATCAGGTCTTTATGTATGAAAAGATGGTCAGGTCTAACCTAAATATGGACAAAAACCAAATTCCTTACACCTCCTCTTCCTCCATGAAGAGGATCTCTCAATCTCAAACATAACCCTCAAGTTTATACATATATTCTTCCCACTCCGGCTAGGATAAACAATCTCCTCATACACATCAATCTAACATGACTGTTGGAGCTTGATCCCGAGGCATAGTCCCTAAGACGATTCTGACACTTTTGCTGTATGATCTCACCTAGGAATCAAGTCAGGAACCCACTAACAACACCTAATCTAGATCTGACATATAGACTTGACAGGACGATTTCATCTCACATTAGTCGGTATTATGATTACTTGCACTTAGCATAAAGAACTCAATATTTCCAAGATGGGTAAGGAACTTTGGTTTTTGTCCATATTCAAGTAACGGTGTTTTTTTTATACATATTTGACCAATAAACTTGTTTGACCTCTTCATAATAGAGTAATATTACCTATAATTATCAGTCATATTACCCTATTTTAAACAAGTTCAATAGTCAAATGTGTATGAAAAAAAACATGGTTACGAAAAACAAAAAAACCAAAGTTCGTTACTTTTCTCGGTCATTAACCCTAGATAAAGAATAGAAGGCCTAGATTTAGAAAGAAAGGATAAGCTCTAATAACATGCGGATCGATTAATTTCTCATAAAAGATTTTTTTCACATTCAATACAAATATATAGAGATTTACATAGGAAATATGGATTGGGCTAACATCCATACATGACTTATATATATATATATATATATATATATATCCACTGATAATTAACAAGTTTAGCAGCGGATTTATAACGAATGTTATCTTTCTTGTTTAAAATCTCGATTGTGGTTGTTACTTGTTAGTGTAATTTTCTCCAAGTCATTTTTCCTTATTTTTTCCCCTGTAATGAATGACAAACAAAGTTACCTAATTAGTTTAGCGATCATCTTGTCTCCAACAATAATAATAATTAATATTCATAATTCGTTATACTACTTAGCTTCCTAAGTAAAAGGTGTGAGAAAAAAAAAGACCATTCATGTAAATTTTCGTAACCACAAGCACTATGTTCATAATAAAATAAGTAACAACTGAGTTTGTGATCTTTGGTAAATCACATGGGCCATTTATGTAATTTAATCTTAATTAATCTATACTAATAAACTTATTTAATATGAATTCACAAATGAAAGATATTATCTACATTAGTTAATTATACATTAATTAATATATTAATAGAAAGAGAAATTCAAAAATAGAAAGTTATTATGTACATTAATTAATATATTAATAAAATTAATTAATATGAGATAACATTTAATAGGTGGAATTTGATTAAAAATAAAAAAAAAATCTATAAAAATGACAAGTGGGTATTAAATAATTCATAAAATCTATAAAATGATAAGTGTCAAAATAAATGAGAAGATGACATGTGGCAAAATCATTCTTATTTATTGGGGTAGATTAAAAAATAAATAAATATGAAAGTCTAAAAATTTTAAGAACTTTGGATTTATAAGAAAATAAGAAAAACAATGAATTATAAAATTGATTTTTTTATCTTTTAAATTTAAATAAATAAACAAAATAACTAATGACTTTAATTTGAAAATTTTGAAATACAAATGTAAGATATTCATTTATTACTACATTTATTGTAATTATTACATTAAAATATTATGTGAAACTAGTTTGTAACCCGTGGGAACCACGGTTAGAAAATTAATCGAACTTTTATAGTAAAAATTCAAAATTATTAATAAGTTATTTTAAATAAATTATTAATTTAAGAGATATTTTTATTAGTTATGTGAAATTATAATCATTGATTCAAATAAATATATAAAATTAATTTTTAATATATATTAGATATTTTTTATTTCTTGAATTAATGAAAAAAATAATTTAAAATTTAAAATTTAAAATAGGATCATATTAATGAGGAGGTCTAATAAATTTAAAATGGAAAACTAATAGATTGACAAGTAGCAACACATTAATTAAAATGTCTAATATGATGACACATGATAAAAGAGCTACTCTTTTATTAGTATAGGGATTTATTAAAATAGGAAAACCCACTAAAATGATATATAGAAAACAAATTAATCCAAAATAACCACAAAGTGACACTAGGCAAATTGAATAAGAGTATGACATGTAACAAAAAACATTCATTTATTAGAGTAGTTGATACAAAATTATTCGTAAATTTCCAATAAAGTCCCAATATTTTGGACCAATTTACGGTTTAATCCCAAATTAATTTATGTTTACTAAAAAAGACAGATTATTGGCAAAAACTTCGAAATAACCTTTTTTGGCCGATTTCACAAATTTAGTTAGTATCCCGTCGTTTTACATTAACCATTCAAATATTATGACTTTTCTGAAAATTATATTATTTTTTACCAATAATCAAAGTTAGTTCAGAATAATCTCAATATTTTGGTTATTTGTAAAATATAACATAATAATATAGATTAGTTTAATGGTAATTTTTAAAAAAGTCTTAATTTTTTATTGGTAAAAGATAATGTATCTTTAGAAAAGTCTCAATATCTTGACCAATTAACGAAAAAAAGACGAAATACTAGCTACATTTACGAACCCGGCTAAAAATGATTATTCCGAACTTTTAACCAGTAATTTATCTTTTTTTTTTTCTAAACAAAATTTAATTTGGTATTAAAAAGTAAACTAATATGACTTTATTTGAGATTTTCCAAAATTATACATATACAATAATATTATAAATTTTTTTAAATTACAACAAGTTTTTCCAAAGTAACCATTTGAAATTTTGAATACACGTTAGGGATCTAGTTATTAAATCAATTGCTTTTTAGCGAAGTTGTTTGATCTTTACCTATTTAACCCAGTAAAGATGTGGGATGAATGTAGATTCTCAATTTTAATAGGAATTACGTTAGGTAAATGTAAGAAATTCTTGTTGTGCCGCTCATCGCTTCTCTTGGATTCTGCATTGTGTCATTATGTTGATATTAGAAGGATGAGTCGGAACGATTTAATATTTACTCCTCCAAAAATGACATTAGATTCGCATTAACATGCATGCGTGTTTAAAAAGCATACGATATGTTGATTATTTAAAGTTTTGAACAATGTTACAAAACCATTGGTTCAATTTTATAAAGTCACAATAGCAGGTCAACAATTTAGGTTCAAATGCACTTGTGTTTTTAGGGAATAAAGGTTTCATATAGCTTGAGTTAAGATTCATGTGCAGTTAGATTAAGATCGCATTCATTGTTTTGTTTTCTTAATTCTGTTTGGTGACTTTAGAAGCAAAACACATTTGTTTTTTATGTAAACGTTTTTTGAGCCTCATAATCGCCGAAATTAATATCATTCGCTGCACATTTTTAGCATGAATCAAACAATGTCATGTGCTAGTGTGCCACCCACCATGTGCAGATTAGGTAGAACTCAAAACCATCATCCAAAGTATATTTTGTCTACCTTCTCCATCATGAGGTTTGTCAATGAGGGAATATGAATGGGGTCATGTTTAAAGGAAGGAAGATGATACTCCATGGACCATGGCTTAAACGTGAGAAATCATTTATAAAATATGCTCA